CCAGTTTCTGTAATAAGGGGTCACTGGGGGCCTGGTATGCAGGTACTGTGTAATGAGAACCCTCACGTGCATGATTCCTTCCAGCAGGCTTTCTGATTCTCCTTTATGGAGCACCCAAACTCCTCCGGATGGTATTATTCACACTTAACAAGCTAACAGCTTTTGGGAGAGAAAGGCTTAGACAGGAGGCTTCACACTCCTGCCTGGAGCTAGGCACATGTGGACCTTGGGGACCTGAAGAGCTTGTGTCCATCTATATTGGGAATAGAGGTCACTGAGTTCCAGCCTGTTCCTGCTGGATCTTCAATATTTAAATAACCCAGATGTCCTGACTTCTTTGTGAAATCCCCTGACTTATAAATAGTGAAAACAGAACCCCATGTGTGTCAGAGTAGAACGGTGCTCCATAAAGTTTCAAAGGCTGTGACCATCAAGAGGTGGATCACCAGGCCTGTCTTTTGACTCGGCCTCTGGTGGCTTCAAACCGCCAGTTTTTCTGTTAGCTGAGCATGGGATTGTTTGTGCCCACCCAGGGAAGTCCTGAGTTAAATTGTGGCTTCTATATTTTTTTAATTGGAAACAATGTATAGGCCAGGTGGGAGCTAATTTTGGCCTGTGGCTGCCCTTTGCTCCCTGGGTGAGAGACCTGCCCCAGATACTGCCTAGGGTTAAATAGGAAAGTCTGTGCCTCTGCCCCTCCGTGTGGGGCCACATGCTGGTCCTCCTGTCCTGGTGGTTGGAATTGGCTCCCCCCATTACCCTGCCCCACCCTTTGATGCTGCACCTCTCCCTCACCCTGAGCCATTCCATGTGCCAAGAGATGCAGAGACATTGACACCAGAGACATGTTCCCAAAGGCATGTGGGCATAGTTACATGGCAAGTTTTAACCCTGCTCATCATGGTTCCGGGAATGTGAGGGCCTGGGGAGATGGGCCTTGGTGGAAAGGAGCTCTTTCTGAATGAAAAGTTCTGTGGCTGAGGTGCCTTTCCTGTCCACTGTCAGTAGAATTTATAGACTTGGAGTTGAAGGGAATGAACATCCCGGCCCAGGCACCTCATTTTACATGTTAGGAAACAATTGTAGATTCATTAGTGTAGCTTGGCCAGGGTGCCACCAGTGCCTGGGTGGGACCCTACACCCACTCCTTCCCGGCTCCAGCAAAACCAGCAGAGAGTCCTGATTTATCATGGTGGCAAACTTCACTTTTTCTCTTTGGGATAGATGTGTGAGTTCGGGGCTTATTTAGCAAGTCAGTTTCTTTCTCTTCCTGCTTTTGTTGCCTTTGATTATTTCATTCCCCTTTAATTCTCACCAGTCACTCCTTGGAAGGAAGACTGGGCAGTCTGCTTCTGTAGAGATACCCAAGGAGGGGTTGCTATGAGTCAGATTCGACTTGAGGGCAGTGAGCTTGAGCTTAACTCTCATAAAGAGCTTTGGTGGTGTACTGGGTAAGGCATTTGGCTGCTAACCAGAAGGTTGGTGGTTCAAACCCACCAGCTGCTCCATAAAGATTTCTAGCCTTAGAAACCTAACAAGGTTGCTGTGAGTTGGAATCAAGTCCATGGCAGTGAGTTTGGTTTTGGTTTGGTTAACTCTCATTAGATAGGTGAAACAAGAGAAAGGAGGTGAATATAATTTTCACATGTTGATGTTTGTGTGTCATGTACTGAGTTTTAGACTTTCTAACCTGTTTCCATCTTTCTGGGTCAACAACATACGGGCATTGGGACTTTTTGTCTTTGTGATGTTTTCTCGTGGGTTAGAGAAACTGTCTTTTTCACTGTCATCGAGTCAATTCTGACTCAATAGCAACCCCCTTGGGTTTCTGAGGTGATAAATCTTTTTGAAAGTAGATTGCCCAGTCTTCCTTCTGCAGAGTGGCGGTGGGTTTGAACTGCCAGCCTTCTAGTTAACAGTTACATGCCTTAGGCACTACACCACCAGAGCTCCTTCTGTAAATATTTACCTCTTCGGAAACCCAAAGGGGTCTCTGTGAGTCGGAATCAACTCAGTGGCATGAGTTTGTTTTTTGGTTTGAGAGAAATTGGCCTGTCATATAAACATTACTTTATGTTTGAAATATAATGCATGCGTGTCTGTTCCCTACATAATGATATGTGTAGCCTAATAGTTAAGCATAAATTTAAATAAATAGTGTAATGCCACACTTGAGAACTAAAATAGATTTTCATCCCTGTGATTTTCCGTTGTTGGAGTCAAGGCTTTTCTTTCCACCTGTAGAGTCAAGTTTGCCTTATATGGGGATTGAGTAAAGTATTTGCATCCAGAAAACACCATACCGTATGACTGAGAATATTTTGCGATATCCCATGGAGTCATTTTTAATTGATTCAGTGCACAATAATTATGAATACAAACCATAGCCCAGATTCTCAGGATGTGACTCTTTGAAGGGCGCGGTGATGGGTCAGGAAAGGGATGGCTCATTTCCTAGGAAGTACAATAGGAGACTCTGGTTCCTTTTGACTTACCTCACCATATTTCTTAAGGGAGGAATTTGGGAGGAAGAGAGACATGAAACTTTTGTAGATAAGCTCCTTTCTAAATCTCCTTTTGATCCATCATTGGAGAGCTGTAGTTGCTGCTGTCCCCTGGACAAGTGCTAAGGATCACTCATGAGATGATTTCAGGTCCCATCTGAAGAAGTCTGGTGGTGTAGTGGTTAAGCACTTGCCTGCTAACTGAAAGGTTGGCAGTTCACACCCACCAGCTGCTCACGAGACAGTTTGCTCCCATAAAGATTACAGCCTTGGAGACCCTATGGGGAAGTTCTGCCCTGTCCTACAGCATCACTATGAATTGGAATTGGCTTGATGGCAGTTGGTTGGTAGGTGAGTGGGTATATTTAGTTGAGTTTGCTTCCTGAAGCTCTCTCTGCTCCTATCAGCAGTTTCCTGTGCTCTGTCTCCTGCCCACTCAACCCTTAACATTTGTTACTCATGCTGTGTGTCCCTGTCTTGCTCTCAGTTTAGCTGAAGCTGACTAAATTCCTTGAGGACCAGGATGATCCTTGTGCATCATTGGGGCTAGGCTAGAAATGCTTAGTGAAGAGAACCTATTCCGTGGTCCTTCTCTGTCAGTCTGATGGTGGGATAGGGTTTGAATTGGGTCCAGGACTGGCTGTGTGTCTGGACATATGTCTGTGAACCCCTTTGAAATTGAAGGCATCTGTTTATGTGTACCGATATTTTTTGGGTGAGGTTCTGATGAGAGTTGTGACTTCTCAAAGAGACTGTGAACAGAAAGTGTGATGTTGTTTCTGGGTGTTGCTGTCCCACCTCTGACCTGAGCAACTTCTGGAGGATGGGGATAAGGTATGTTTGATGTGGGGGTAACAGCTACTCCCTCCCATCCTGCTCCCCGCCCTGAGGTAGAGTCTGCTCCAGGGGCCAGAGCTGGGATGTCTCTTGTTGTTATGTGCCATCGAGTCGGACCTGACTCATAGCAATCCCTCCTTGGGTTTCCAAGGCAGTATTACTATGGAAGTAGATTGCCCCATCTTCCTTCCGAGGAGTGGCTGGTGGGTTTGAACCACCAGCCATCTGGTTAGCAGTCAAGTGCCTTAGGCACTACGCTACCAGAGCGCTAGAGAATCTAATGTCATTGATGAGGGTGGTGGGTTGTCGCTAGGTACCTCTGAAAGTCACATGGAGTAGCATGAGAGAGTCACGGAAAGCCCACTGGCAGAAGCGGGTGGAATTTTGGCCTGGCTGCTGGTACTTTCCTACATTTATATGTTGTTTGTTCACCCATCTCTACAACTGCCAAGTGGTGGAGAAAAGCTGAGCTTTGCTTTTCCTGTGCTTGTTTTGGGAAGATGCATTGGTGTCTGGTTGGCACTACCTCAGCAATGCTGCTTGGGCCATTAGTCTTGTGGGACAGGCCTAGTTAAGTCTGAACTGCAGGGTTCAAGTCCAGAGTGCTAAAGAAAGCCATACTCAGTTTACCTTTTCAGACAACTAAGGGGAGTTTGGTGCAAAGGCTATAATGTTGTGTTACTGTGTGACAGTGGTCGAT